CTTGGAGGTTCATGGCTGGGTATAAGTAGGTTTCTTAGTGCCCTACAGAAGGTTAGAGCCAGTGATAATGCCCATGAAGCACATCGGGGAACAGCAGTGTGGCGCACCCCTCTTCCTTCTGCTGGACCCGCTCGTCCCACTTTCTGTCCAGCGCCATGTTTTCCTGCGCAGCGGGACGCTTCTAACCTGGGGCCTACGACCCCTCTCTGCCCTCCCTGCGACAGTAGGGGCTTTTTCTTGGCAGGGCCACTGCTCGCATACGAGCCGTACTTCATTCAGGTTCCCACTGACCTTCCGGACATCTCACCTCTTGCAGAAGACACCGAGGCATTCCTTGGGATGTTCCACCTTCTACGAACAAAACCCTAAACCCTAAACCCTATCAAGGAGCTGCAAGTATAAAAAGGGGGGAACATCCCACACCCAGAAGTGCCTTGGACTGCTGGAGGACTCGCTCTTGGAGCTTGAAGATCTCAGCGCAAGACACGCGTGGGATGCACGTACGGGGCTCGAATAGAGGGGGGCCGTGAGAATTTAGAATAGGGTTTGGGCTGGTATGGTATAATTAAAAAAGGGACCAGAAGGGGAACATTATTAGTAAGTATTCCGACCCCTATTTTCGAGCTTCAACCGACGGAACCGGAGCCAGACGAGCAAGCGAGAAGCTTCAACGGTCAAGCTAAGCCCCGCACAATCTCGGTCTTTTCCTTGAGCTCCCGATCCCGATTCTTGATCAGGATCTGCGATCAGGAACACACCGCGCGCACGTCTCCGAAGCCCTAAACCCTAAACCTAAACCCTAAACCCTAAACCCCAAACCCCAAACCCTGAACTCTAAACCCTGCACCCTTCTCCGTGACCATACAGCGATAACATGACCAGGGCATGGCAGGCATTGCAACGCACGTGAAAAGAGGACGCTCCACGGCCCTTCCGTATCCCGAACACCCTCCCAACCCAGCTAAACCGGTTTAGGGTTAAGGGTTATGAACCCTGAAAGCCCACGTGTAAGCTTATCAAGGGCTCCCCCAAAAGGAAAGAACTGAGTCTTTCTTTTCTTACCTACAGTGGACCGCAGGGTGTCACGGCTTAGGGCTTGGGGGTCCCTACAAACCCTAAACCCTCAACCCTAAACCCCAAACCCTAAACCTAAACCCTCAACCCTAAAACCCTAAACCCTAAACCCCAAACCCCAAACCCTAAACCGCAAGGCTCTGGGCAAGCGCCTCACATCTCCGAGTCACCTCGTCAAGCCTCATCTCCATGGCCTCGAAGACTCGTGAAGATTGGGGGTTTAGGTTTAGGGTTTAGGGGTTAGGGTGTAGGGTTTAGGGTGTAGGGTTTAGGGTTTAGGGTTTAGGGTGTAGGGTCTTAGGGGTTAGGGTGTATGGTTTAGGGTTTAGGGTGTAGGTATTAGGGTTTAGGGTTGTAGGGCTTTCCTGGCCTTTGGGGTTTTCGGAGTCGTTAGGGTGTCTTTAGGGTCTTCAGGGTCTTTAGGCTTCAGGGTGTTCAGGGTCTTAGGGTGGCAGGGTCTTCAGGTGTTTTGGGATCTTCGGGTTTAGGGCGTTTTCAGGTGGGGGTGTCGGGATTTGAGGTTCGGATTTGGGGGGGGTGCGCGTTTCAGCCGGAACCTGCATCTTCTGCTTTGGATGCGCTGGCGCGTTTTCCTCCTCGATCTCCGCTTCCTGCAGCAAGGGCTCTGGGCATTACTGGCTGGATTTTCGTAGGGAATAGGGGAATGAGGTACCCCACAAAATCCTCAAAGGGAATATATGGGTCCTAATTCCCTCATTCCCTACTAAGAACCAGGGGGACTCAGGTTATGAACGTCACGTGTGCTTCATCTGCGCAGAACTCAGGAGCATACTAGCCCTTGAGGAGCGGTACCTCCGCTGGAATCTTGAAATCCCTGATCAAAAACGTCACCAAAGAATGGCCTCTCAAAGCCAAGAAGTGACAAGGTCACATATCCCAAGGCCCCTAGGAACCCCGAAACTAGGGGATGTGATCTTGGGCATCGGTCCCCCCCCTCTAAACCCTAAACCCTAAACCCTAAACCCCAAACCCTCACAGCGTTCTTGCCTTGATGGATCTAAGGCCGCCACACGCTGGGCTCTGAGCTTGGTGTTCTCCTGGATGAAGCGATCCATTCCCTCCTGGCAAGCGGCTTCCTTTCCTCCACCCTACTTGGAGGTTCGTGGGTAGTTAGAAGTAGGCTTATACAAGTACTCTACATGAGGAATTTGAGTTATCCTACTTATAACCGTGCTTAAAGCTACCCATGAACCTCCAAGTGATCCCCAAATCCTACAGCCTCGTGACAAGGGCATCGAAGCCTGGAAACGGTAAGTGCTGCGGCACTGCAGGAGTTTTTCGCATTTGCGGGTTGAGACTTTCGGCTGTGATGAAATCGGCCGAATTTTGATTTGGGTTTAGGGCTTGGGAAATGCGCTTCTCAGCTTTCCAAGCATCGGGTTGGGGGTAGGGATGCCTTTCTTAGAGCGGTGTCTGCAGGGTTTGGGTTGTTGGGTTTAGGGCATCTCCAACCCATCTTGAATTGAGGAATTCACCTCGATTCATAACCAGGACCCCTTGTTCAGCGTGAGTCTGTTGAATCGTTTACGGAGTCCTCTCACGCAGAGGAACCGAGCATCAACTTACGGGCTTTCAGTATCATGAACCTCCGAAGTACTGAAACTTCAATCTCGGCTTCAACAAGAACTGCCGCCCATCGTGTTGCACGTTGCAAGCTCTGGAATGAAACATTCAATCACAATGCTGTGAATTCATGCCGGATCATAAAGGAATGCAGGGTCCTTCGCACAAGCGAGCTCTCGCTCAAGGTCCTGGTGCAGAGGTGTGCGTGAACCCTAAGTAGGTCCTAAATCTAGATGCAAGCAGCGGTGTGCCATCATAAACCGGTGTGAATGTGCAAAAAGCCGACCTTGCATCAACCCCAGAGAACCCAAAAATGAGACCCAGAAGCACACTGGCCCCAACCTCATCTCCGCACTCTAGTCCGAAAGAAGCATCCCTCAATATACAAAACCCTCACGAGCGCCAGGCACAAAAATGCACGACAACCTGGCACCAAAAAAACCCCAAACCCTAAACCCTAAAACCTAAACCCACGGCGCCTGGTTCCGCTTCTGCACCTTCTCCCGAGCCTCTGCCTGCCAACTCAGAGCTCCGAGCGTTGACATTTGCAGATTTTTTGGAGGTTCACGGGTAGCTCCTTCGGGTTTAGGGTTTAGGGTTTAGGGTTCAGGGTTTAGGGTTTATAGCGTTTAGGGTTTAGGGTTTAGGGTCTAGGGTTTAGGGTTTAGGGTTTAGGGTTGAGGGTTGAGGGTTGAGGGTTGAGGGTTGAGGGTTGAGGGTTGAGGGTTGAGGGTTGAGGGTTGAGGGTTTAGGGTACAAGCCCGCAGCCCGAGCATTCTTGAAGCTTATACGGGGGTTTACGATATTAGGCGGTACCTTATTGGGGGAATGCTACTATTTGGGATCTATTTCAGGGGTCCCCTATTTTCAGAAACCACCATATTTGAGCGTTACCTACAGGGCCTCTTGCTGCCTTGCACAACTGCCACGACGGGGTTGGGCTTGGAGATGCACTTGCATCCCCTAATCTTCAGACCCTCCCCGCTTGCCGCTTGGTGGCTCCGGGGTGCTTACAAGTAGGGCAGTGTGCGCCTTGGTGCAGATGGGTAAAACCTTACCTGTAGGTACCCAATCAGCCTTGCAAGCTATTCCCAAGATCCCCCGACCTTCTCTTCCAGCATCAGCTTCATCTTGTCCTGCAACTTCTTCACCTCTTCCTGAGCAAAGAGCTCGACCCTAAACCCTAAACCATCCGTCTGGGGCCTTGTGGCTTGAGGCTTTTCCGGCTTTTTCGGCTCTGGGGCTTTTATGGTCTGGGGCTCGGGGCTCTAGGGTGCTGTATGGGTTTCGAGCAGTTTTCGGGCCAAGGGTTTCGGGTTTAGGGTTTAGGGTTTAGGGTTTAGGGTTTAGGGTTTAGGGTTTAGGGTTTAGGGTTTAGGACTTAGGGCTTAGGGCTTAAGGCTTAGGGCTTAGGGCTTAGGGCTTAGGGCTTAGGGCTTAGGGCTTCACACTTCAGGCAACCCGTCCCTCAACTTCGGGCTGGAAGTCCACACAACCCTCGGAGCCCGTACCCTAAGCCCTGCCTAAAACCTTGGCAGCCTCTCTGTAAACCCCGAACACAGTTCAAAGTTTAAGGCTTTAGGGCTTTAGGCTTCGGGTTTAGGGTTTAAAGTTTAGTATAGGGCTTAGGGCCTCCAAGTTATTAGGCCTCTAGGGCTTTAGGGTGAAAAAGGGCTTTCGGCCTCCTTCTCGGCCACCTTCTCCTTCCAGGGGTCCAGCTTCTTCTCATACCTGTGCTTGTTCGGGTTTGGGGTTTGGGGTGGGTTTGGGGTTTGGGGGTTTGGGGTTTCGGGGTTTAGGGTTTAGGGTTTAGGGTTCAGGGTTTAGGGTTTAGGACTTAGGGTTTAGGGTTTAGGGTTTGGGTATCACTGAACAGGTTTAGATGTTGTGCAGAGATGGGATAGCCAAGCGTTGCCACCTGAACAAAGGCTGCTCGAACTTGGCCCCCAAGTCGCAAAACTGACCCTAAACCCTGAACCGACAACGATTTTGGGATATGTATGTATATTGCACATACATATATATATATATAATATACGTATACATATATAATATGTGTGTCGGGGACCCTCGGGCACTTGTCCACTGAAAGCAACTCAAGAAGTCCCACAAGCCCACACTCCGGAAGGAAAAGAATTTAAAAAAGAGAGAGAGAGAGAGCGACCCAACCTAAGATCCCGCCTTATTCTTATCCCTGTTGGACTGGGCTCTGCGGGTACAAAGCTTCTTCGTTCCGAAGCACGCGAAACTCTCAGACCCTGAACCCTAAACCCCAAACCCTAAACCCTATACCCCAAATCCTAAACCCGAAGCCCTCAAATCCTCAGCCGAGGCTTCGGCTCTTTTTCAACACTTTGCAGCTTCCGGTCCAGCTTCTGGATCACCTGTTCAGGGTCTTAGGGTTTAGGGGGCTTAGGGCTTAGGGGCTGAGGCGCTGAGGGGCTGAGGGGCTGAGGGGCTGAGGGGCTGAGGGGCTGAGGGGCTGAGGGGCTGAGGGGCTGAGGGGCTGAGGGGCTGAGGGCTCAGGGTGTTGGAGGGTTTGGAGAGGTTGCTTGTGCGAAGGGCGCTGTTTCAGTGATGAGGATGCTGATGGAAGGGCGGGATTTGGGGTTTAGTTTTTATGGGTTTAGGGTTTAGGGTTTCGGGTTTAGGGTTCTACCCTCAAACATCTCCGAGATGGAGTGCCACCGCCTCCTCGAAGCCTTCTCGCATCCTGCCGGATTCCAGGGCTTTCAAGCTTTGGGTTTTGGGTTTTGGGTTTGGGGTTTGGGGTTTGGGGTTTCGGGTTTAGGGTTTACGGCTTACGGTTAGCAAAGAACCCTGCTTTGGGGGTCATGGGTATTGAAATTATATAGGGTAGCTAGACAACTAATTATCTAAGTTATAACTTTTTCGGAACGTCAAACCGAGAGAGCCCCAAACCCGAAGAACTCGCGGGCTTCGCGGTTTAGAAGGTCGGGGGCTTGCAGGTTCGGAGTGCAGGCTCTCTTTTGAGCTTCGGGCTGTAGGTTTAGGGTTCTTAGGGCTCTTAGGGCTCTTAGGGTTCTTGGGGTTCTTGGGGTTCTTGGGGTTCTTGGGGTTCTTGGGGTTCTTGGGGTTCTTAGGGTTCTTGGGGTCTTCAGCGCTTTCCGGATGCACGGCATTTGGTGGTGGCTCTACCGCTTCGGCTTCGGGTTCCGTCTTTGTGGCTTAGGATTGCGATTAGGGCTTAGGGCTTAGGGTTTAGGGTTTAGGGTTTAGGGTTTAGGGTTTAGGGTTTAGGGTTTAGGGTTTAGGGTTTAGGGTTTAGGGTTTAGGGTTTAGGGTAGAATCTCCAGGCATCTGGGGTTTAGGGCTTAGGGTGCATAAGGGTTTAGGGCATTAAGGGCTTAGAGCTTAGGGGGTTGGGAAGTCTCCTGTCAACGTTGTCGCTGTGCGTCTGCTCTTTGGTGCGGAAGTCGTGCACGAGCTTGTCGTAGCCCCTTTCCTCGGCATCCAGCCCCCCTAGCTCTGACAAAGAATCCCTGCACGCAAGACCCCAAGCCCCCTAAACCCTAAACCCGACACCCTAAACCCAAGCCCTAAACCTGAACCCTACACCCTAAACCCTAACCTAGACCCTAAACCCTAAACCAGCCTTCAGCCCTCTACTGGCTGGTTCTCAGTGAGGAATGAGGGAATGAGGTACCCTATGTGATCCCTTAAAGGGTTTTTTTACAGGGCCCTAAGTCCCTCATAACCTACTAAGAACCAGGGGGTCTAAAGCCCACCACCAACTCCACGGAGCCGGAAGGGCTGCTGTGTGCTCTGGTTTAGGGTTTAGGGTTTAGGGTTTAGGGTTTAGGGTTTTGGGTTTTGGGTTTTGGGTTTGGGGTTTGGGGTTTAGGGTTTCGTCGTTGGCTCCATGGAGGAATCGGGGCATGGCAAATTGCTGTAGGGGAGAACCAAACTTTTCCAAAAAAGGCGTGGAAAGGGTTTAGTGTTTAGGGTTTGGGGTTTGGGGTTTGGGGTTTAGGGTTCAGGGTTTAGGGTTTAGGGTTTAGGGTTTGGGTCTTAGGATTCGGGTTTACCACTGAGGTCAGGGGTGTCGGGGAGCTGATTTCGTAAGCTCACGGCCTTGATCTCCACCTGCTTCTCGAAGGGGGTGTAGTCCACCTGACATACATCCTCAGAGTCCCATCACTCCGAAGTCTCGAAGTGCTCCCCGCAGCCGGAAACCTCCAAAACCTCCGTGAAAGTTCTAGGGGGGAGGGGACGGAAGGGTTCTTGAATTTGGGGTTCCAGTGTGAAGCAAGGGCCGAAGCAGGGCAAGCAGCAAGGCCCTGCACTGCAGGTCCTTGCTGCCTGCAGGGACATGTCTACAAAGGGTTTAGGGTTTAGGGTTTAGGGAAAAGCACAAGCCCCAAATCCGGCATGCCCTGAAACAATACACCTCTTCGCCACAAATTGTCCCGAAGCCCTGAAGCCCCCAATTTAAATTCCCAAAGCCTAAACCCCCCCCCTGATCCCCCAATCCCGAGGAATCCCTGAAGCCCCCTGCCTGGGAGAGCTGCACCTCCAGCCCCTGCTTCTGGAGCTCGAGCTCCTTTTTGCCGGGGCGATTTGGGTTTGGGGTTGGGGGTTTGGGGTCTCGGGTTTGGAGTTTCGGGTTTAGGCTTCAGGGGTTTTCGGGCTTCGGGCTTTACCGCGGGCAGTCCTGCCCGTGAGCTGGCTGAGGCTCCATTCCCAACACCCAAACCTATTGAGGGGGTGTATGTATCAAGGGAGAACTCCACCCAAGACCTACCCTCCTTGAAAGAGGAGTCCCCTCCCCCTCTGCTCCCAGCCCAGTGAGATACTGAGGGGGTTTGGAGGGGGTTTCCGGATGCAGCGGCCTTGATCTGCTTGATGTAAGGGCCGGCGATCTTGTCGGACCTGGCGGGTGTCTAGGATGGCTCGGAGGGGCCCTGGGATGAAAGAGGTCTCACAGATCCTGCCTGACTGACTGAGTGAAAGGGAACGAGAGAGTGAGAGTGAGCATCACATGACCAGCTACAGTAGGCCAGTGACGAATGAAACGAAAGAAATGTGAAAACATGGTGCAGCATGTGCGGGCTCTAAGGCCCTGAAGCCTACGAACCACCCCCCTAAACCCCAAACGTTAAACCCTTAACCCTAAAGACAAAGGCAGCGTGGGGCACTCCGCTTCGATCTCTTTGATCTGAAGCTGAAGCTTCAACACCTCGCTGCTAAGGGGGTGCTTCGACAGGCGGGGGCCTTCTCCAAGGCCTAGAAACAAAAACCCAGAAACCCAATAACCTACTTGGAGTGTTTATGGGTAGTTATGCATAGGGTTTTAAGTACCCTAAGTAAGGCCATGAGTCTAGTTACCCTAATCATAACCGTCCTCATAACCCAGGAACCAAGAGTCCCCTGGTGTCTTGGATGGTTTAGGCCTTCGTGCTCAGAATGTTTGGGATGGCCCGGGTATTTGCGAGGCCTGAAGCTCCCCCCCCCTGGTGAGCGGATTCAGTGCTGTCATATGGAGCATGCCCTGCAGCACCTGCGGTTTGCTCGTCTCATTTGGGGCACCAAAAGGGACCCTACTCGGAGGTTCACTGGCAGATATAGATTAACTCTACACATAGCTATACGAAGGGTACTTAGAAACTACCCATGAACCTCCAAGTAGCTTAGAAAAACCCGCCTGAAGGCTTCAAGCGCTCAGGACTGGAGGCGCAGGGCTTTTGGAAGTACAGAAGCAGGCTTCTCTTTCGGGAGATGGTTTTGGCGTCTCCTGCTAGCGCCCAATTGCCGCACAAAGCCCTCGTTCAGGAGCCCCCGCATCTATCGAAGTCTGCGTTTGCGCAGGGGTTTTGCGTGTTGAGGCTAACCCGAAGCTCCACCCTGAAAAGCCGGAAAGGAAGAATTAGCGGGGGTCATATTGGGTGGGCCAGTGCGTGGGGCTGTAGAGCTTTAGTTCAAAGGGCTTCAGGGTTGAAGAAGGGTTGAGGGTTCAGAGTTTGGGGTTCTATGAGCTCTTAAGAGGCGGCGGGCCACCCAAGCAGAAGGTTGGGAGCGGTTCCTATTTTCTTGTTGGAATCTGCGTTTTGGGTAGTATTTACAAAAATGATTTTGGCTGTGGTTTGCACAAGGGTCGGAATAATCACTAGTAGTATTTCCTTATGGTCCCTTTGTAACTATATGTAATTATACTATAATACCCCCCAAAGCCGTATTCTCATTCTTCAGGCCTTTATAGTAGGCTCCTGTGTTACACCCTGATTCCCACAAGCAAACCCTGCGAGCCTCCTTGTGGTGCTCTTCTTGGGCCTCTTGCGTTCACAAGGCGGTTCGGTGGGTGTTTGGGGCCTTTGGGCTTGCCTGCACTCAGGAGGGTAGCTATAAATTAAACTTTTTGCTGCCTTAATAAGAAACCCAACAAAGCCAAAACAGGTAAGGACCTAAAGTTACAGTAAAGTACCACTGAGTGGGTTTGCGGCTTAGGGAGACCCACAGGTGTTGAGGGTTTCTTGTGTAGGGGGTCTTGAGGGTTTAGGGATCGGGTTCAGGCACTTAGGAGATTCGAGGTGTAGGCTTTCGACATTCAAAGAGAAGGGCTTCGGCCCCATTCCCCACCCCTCGACGTGGGGGGGGGGGGGGGATTTTAAGCTACGGATTTTACGCTACTCTCTGCTCCTCGCGCAGTCTACTCCTCGCCCATCACCCAGCATTCAACCCCGAGAGTATTTCCGGAGGATCCCTGTAGTGCGCCAACCCAAGAGAAGAGTATGGCCACATAATTCCTGGAGCATCCCTGCCCCAAGAGGATCCCCAGAGAATCCCTGGAGTGCTCAAAACCCATGCAGGGCGGGGATGTTCGAAGCAAAAGATTCAGACTTAGGTTTGCCCTGAGCCGGGATCACTACCATTGCTCTACCCTCAATGGCTGCAAGAAACCGGAAAACCCACACCAAGCCGAAACCGGGCGAGCCCACCACAACCTGATCTTCTTCGGAAGCTTCAGGGTTGCGACAAGAAGGCTCGGAATTGACCAGGCGAATCCCCTCCCGCTAATTTTAACCCCCCCCCCTACCCCCTAATATTAGATACTCCCAATATAGTTATATTATAGTACAGGAGGAGTATTAAATACTGGGGTGTAGGGTGTAGGGGGGAGGATAAGTCTTGTAGGGCTGAGGAGCCCCCCCCCGCGAAGGCCTTCTCGTAGTCCCGTTCCCACTTCTCCGTGATCTCCTGAACCAAAGGCATGGGATGTTCCCCCACATACTCGCCGTCCTTATTAGGGACTACAGTACCCCCTACTATACTCCCTATTAAGGGCTGTTAGTATGAAGGAGAACATCCCAGAGCACGGGTCAAGCGCAACAAGCAGCCCTCTTCCTGCATCTGCTTCTAGGCTTCGATCGCCCCAAGCCCTCGAAACCCCCCCCTCCCGAATGCCCTGAAGCCTTCAAGCCTTCAGTCTTCCACCCTACTTCAAGGTTCATGGACAATTACAAGTAGGGTGATAATTAGGGTAGCTATCCTGGCCTTACTTAGGGCACTGATAACCCTACTTATCGCTACCCATGAACCTCCCTCCAAGCACACCCTCAGTCCCGAAGCCACTCCGAAATGCCGAGCCGCGCGCCTCGATGGTCGACTGGAGATACGAAACTTCTCGCTGAATGCTCACTGCCCGCTCCTCCACCCAGGCTTCGGCTGAGGTTTAAGAACACCGGCTCCGGCTCCCTTTCTTGGGGCCCCTAAACCCTAAACCCTAAACCCTAAACCCTAAACCCTAAACCTTGGGTTTTAGGGTTCCAGGGCATTAGGGTTCTAGGGTTTTTAGGGTTTCGGGTTCCCTTACTTAGGGGATTGGAGTGGTTTGGGGACTCCCGGGCCTGGCCGAATAGAAACTGTCACGCGCTGTTTTTGGGGGGTTGGGAGGCCTGTACAAACGAAAAATGTTAAAAAAAAAAAAATATATATATATATATATATATGTATACATATATTTTTTGACAGATCGGTACCCAAAACCTGGAACATGAGTTGCTGCAGGCTACCGGAATCTGGAAGCCCCACGCAAACACAAAAATGGCCCACATCGAACAAGTCGTTTTCCGGGCTACCCCCCCTAAACCAACACCCTGAAACCCCAAGCCCCCTAAAAATCAACAACCCCCCCCCCCCCAAAAAAAAAAAAAATCATAGCAATAGTGCTAATAAATAGATAACATTATAAATGAACAAGAAATAGTAATACTGAAAACAAAAATATAATACAATGAAGTCAGTTGCAATACACACCGCCTCGGCAGCCTTGAGCTTCTTCTCGCCCTCGACCCGCCTCAGAGGGTTTAAGGGTTTAAGGATTAGGGGTTTGGGGCTTTAAGGGTTTAGGGGTTTAAGGTTTAGGGGCTTAGGGTTTAGGGGCTTAGGGTTTAGGGCTTTAAGGTTTCAGGGCTTAGGCTCTGGGACTTCGGGGTTGCAGGGGTGTGGGTTTTTGGGTTAGCTTGTCTGCTTGTCTTGTTGGGGGTCAATGAATCAAGGGCTCACGATTGGGCTAAGGGGAGAGCAAACTTCTTCAATCTGCTCTCTTACCCCGCACAACGGTTCATGTGCAACACTCGACACTCACAGTCGCCGTGCACCTTATTGGGTTTGGGAGGGGGGGATTAGCAGTTCGGGGCTGGGGAGACAGGTGGAGAAGGGACAGAAGACGGATTCAGGGGCGTTGGGGCGTCAACATGTTCGACTTCGTGGTTCCGGGATTTGGGTTGAAGGCGAGAGGTTTGGAGTGGGCAACCTCCTGGCAGGGTTTAGGGTTGGAGGTTTGGGGTTTCATGTTGAGCGCTGTAAAGGGGCCTATTGGAGCTGTAGGGGGCCTGAACACCCTGAGAGCCCAGACCCCACCGGACATGCTGCTTTGTAGGAGAAAACCCGAAGAACCTCCGCATGCGCCAGTAAACCGCTCGAACGCGAGAACCTCCTAAACCCTAGGGTTTAGGGTTTAGGGTTTAGGGTTTAGGGCTTAGGGCTTAGGGTTTAGGGTTTAGGGTTTAGGGTTTAGGGCTCAGGGGTTCCGAGTTCCTACGAGCAGAGCCCGCTTCCACGAACAACCAGGGCCAGGAGGCTGAAGAGCTCTGAGGGTCAGGTCAGGCTTTGACAGCTTGAGGGCTTGAGGGCTCGCTTGGAGGTTCAGGGGGTTATAAGTAGGTTTCTACACTAGGGTCACGATACTTATGACCTTACTTAGGGCACTTATAACCCTACTTCTAAGTACCCATGAACCTCCCAGCAGGGTTCGGAGTTCATGGCTTCGAAGCACCGGGGCGCCAGGCACAGGCTCTATGGCTGCCACCGCCTCTTTGAGGCGGGCGTCCTGATTGTTGGCCTGAGGGTTTAGGGTTGAGGGTTCAGGGTTTAGGGTTCAGGGTGTAGGGTTCAGGGTTCAGGGTTTAGGGGCTCTTTAAGGGTTCGAGCTATCGACAATCATGATGTGAATGATACCGGGAATCTGGGGAGAAAATACCCTAAACCCTAAAACCCTACACCCGAAACCCCAGTACTAACAATTGGCCTGAAGGCATGGCTCAAGGTTGAGGGCTCAAATTCGCAAGCGGACCGGGGGGGGAGGGGAGTAAGAACTGAAATTACAGAGGGGGTCCTTGCCTGCCTCCGCAGTGTAACTTTCTGAAATCCCTAAACCCTAAACCCTAAACCCTAAACCCTAAACCTGAAACGTCATGGCAGCACACCCTCGTAAGCTGAGCCCAGAACTGCCTCTTGCAGCCTCAGGATCTTGGCATCTCGCTTGGAGATCTGCAGGCTGAGGTGTCGGAAGACAGTTTGGGGCTTAGGCTTTAGGGTTTGGGGTTTGCGGTGTAGGGTTTAGGGTTTGGGGTTTAGGGTTTAAGGTCCTTGTTATACCCTCACCAATATGCGGGACCATAGACGTACACTCACCAAAACCTGCCTTATGCCAGCGTAGACCCCAAACAGCGAGAGGCCCGTCGACCTAGCCCCTCGGACTCTTGACATAGGAACCCCTTAGTCTTGACCCGCCGTTTTTGGGGGAATATGATCCTGCACTTCAATCATAGGAACCCCTGGGTCTTGACCCACTGTTTTGGGGGAACATGACCCTGTACTTCAATCCCAAGCCATATGGAGCGCGAGGGCCGCACAAGGTCACCCCCCCCGCCCCCCCGCCCCTCGGACTGAAGAGACGGAACTGGGGGGCCCATGCCCCCCAGAGAGCCGACCTTAAAATTATGCCGGGGTCCTGAGTATGAATTACGGTAGATTGCCCTTGCTTGACGGGTATGGAGATGTCTGGGTTCAGGGCTTGTTGGTGACAAAAGGCTCAGGTCTTTGGCGCCGGGATGTTTCAGGGTTTACGGCTTTCTGTCCTGTACGAGGCATTAGGACACGCAGCAACAGGGGCTCCAAATCTGAACCTCAGTCTCACACCGCACACCAATCGTTGCCTCAGCTGTTCTTCAAAAAGAGACCTTCCGAAAGACCTTCCCTTCGCTTTGCAACGGCGTGCCTCATCTCGCCAAGGCTTGTCGCCCTTGTTCAGCTGCGCTTTAAGCGCACGGATCTTGCATGGCAGGGCTGCTGCTTCGAGATCACTGAAGTCCCTAGCTTCGGGGAGGGCTGAGAAGTGGAGTCGTAAGGTTCAGGATTGGAGCTGTTGTCGGGCTCCAACCCACCACTTCAGGAAGCTGCTGTGGTGCTTCGACAAACCGTAGCCGCAACCCCAAGCTTACCTTCAAGGTAAACCAAACTAGCTTGGGCGCTCTTGTGCGTAAGCCTCTCGTGGCTGCTTGCCTACTCATATAAATACTCCTTTCATGCTTCAAGTCATGTTCACTCTTCTTTCCTTCTGTAGGGTGGCGCCCTGCTCTCTGCCAACCAGTCTGAATTCGAAGCGCGAATGACCTGGACATTTCTATTCCTCTTTCGTGCGACTCATCATCGGCCTCGTCTATGTAGGGCAGCTTGTCTCGTTCCCGACCAGCCTTCACGCACAACAAAAGATGCACATGCAAACCTACGCAACAGCACAGGTGTGTGTGTGTGTGTGTGCGCACGTTCAGCGTCTGGTGATCACAACAGACTTTTGGGGCTCAGGATGATTCAGGAGTACCGTGAACTGCGCAGGCACTGCCATCGCCTTCTCCGCATCCAGCTGCTCCTGGTCGCTGCTTTTGGGGCCATTGGTTCCCCTTTGGGCTCAGAGTTGAGGAACTATCAAGGCTGTCTTCATCGAACAGTTCTGGCAACATACCCTTTGGAGCCTTCGCGATCCCCCCTTGCGCCCAGCCACAACAACCACACCCACCACACCAACACCAACAACACCAACAACACCTCCCTAAATCCTACACCCTAACCCCTAAACGCTACACCCCTAAGCCTAAACCCTAAGCCCTAAACCTCTAAACCCTACACCCTAAACCCTGTTCTGCAAAGCCCGAAACCCCCAAAGTCGAAGAAGGGCTGACCAGCATGCCCAAGAAGCCGCAACCCTTATGTCAACCTCAAGGCCTACAGGCTAACAGCCCGAAGAAACCCGTCACAACCGTTTAGGGTGTAGGGTTTAGGGTTTAGGGTTTAGGGTTTAGGGTTTAGGGTATAGAGTTTAGGGTTGAGGGTTGAGGGTTGAGGGTTGAGGGTTACAATGCCGACCAGCCCAACATGAAACCCCATCGAGCCATCAAATGGTATTGGAGCCTCGGGGGTTGCATAGTTCTCGAACTTGAAAGGGCTTTCCGATTCACACACGGAGGCTGGTGTTTTTAGCCGAACCCGCAATAAGTACCAAAACTTGAGAGCTAGCCCTAAACCCTAAACCCTAAACCCTAAACCCTAAACCCTACAAGGGCATTCTCTCCTGCAGTTCTCTGGTCGCGTTCAGGAGCTGCTGGTAAGATCGGCCAGCGCACCTGCCGGGCGGCGAGAGATTCCCCACATAACCCAGAGAGCCCAATACCCCTTAAATAAGGAATATACCTTAAATCATATTAAGGATCCCTATGTGATTTAAGGTATATTCCTTATTTAAGAGGTATTGGGCTCTTTGGGTAACCCAGTGCTGCCTGGAAGAAGGCACATTTTTCTTAATCAGGGCCCTGTACATACCCTTTAAGGGATTAGATGGGGTACCTCATTCCCCCATTTCCTACTAACCAACAATAAGCTTTAGGCGTTTTAGGTATATGGGTATTTCCAAAAATAGGGGGCCACCCTTCATATACCCCAAAATAGCATCATCCTTTGTAAAGGAACCCTCACCCCTGAAAGTCGTGCAGCCCGACACCGATATACCCATAGTGAGCCCCCCAAAAGCCCCGAAGATTGGACCTC